CATTGGTGACTGATTGTCCTCGACATTTTGATCTTGTTGGATGACATTTTGGACTACCATATCGGTGACCTATCGGATTCTATCTCGGTGACCTACCGGTGCTGTCTACCTCCCCCCCCTCCTTCGTCTCTCCTCCCACCTTTCATCTGTGTATGTGTGTACGGGATCTGGGCATCGTCCATGCTTGGCCCAGACCCCACCATCTCACGATTGTATGTGTGTGGAGTGATTCTTGAGTCAGTCTATGTGAGTCAGTCTATGTGAGTCAGTCCGTTTATCAGACTTCCGCTGCATATATGCTCATCCTACATTGGTTGATCTTTGGTTCTGCCCATACTTATTGAAGTATGTAACAAGTAGGACTGAATACACTTTCATTTTGGATCTGTTCATCTGGGTGGAATAGAGGCTGTTGTGGTGAAAATTCAACACACACACACACAATGTTCACACAAGCAGGATCTTGGCGGACAATAACACAGCAGCGCTTCTGCATAAGCTAGGTTTGAACAAGAGGAGGTTTCTGGCGCGGGCCTCCCTTATGTCCTAGGTATGCCTTTAACAGGCGGGTTCTCAGCATGTCCTAGTTTGCAAGTTTCTGTGCAGACAGTGTTCTCCCAACCTCCATCTCAGGTTGCAGTAATCGGGCAGCCTGCGGTCTCGCAGCCTGCACAACTGCAGGGTTCACAGCCCCAACAGATAGTGCAGCAGCCTGCACCACAGGGTCCACAGTCCGGATTGGTGCAGGTACAGGGACAAAGTCAGTGGGTACCAAAGACGGCAATCCCCGCTCCTAAGATAAGAGAGGCGAAGACCTCGACAGTTGGTTGACGGCAGTGCCGGTCTACGTAAAGTGCAAACTTGCCTTGCCGCACGAGGAAGTGCTTGTGGCTGCCTCCTATTTAGAGGGGAGTGCAGCACGATGGTTGAGTGGTTTAGTGCAGCTACAGGGGTTCGGTCATGACTTTCGCGCTTGGGTGGTCACCCAAAAATTGGATGACTTCCTCAAGTTGGTGGAAGACAGGTGGCATGATCCGCAGGAGGCCCAAAAGGCTACTGACGCGATCTTGACACTGCACACGAGGCAGTTTAAGTCAGTAAGGGAGGCCACTGACGTTGTAGAGCGTCTGATCTGTGTCCCTGGGGTGAGCTGTCGGCGCGAATACCCTTGCAAGGGTATTCGCCCTGGGTTTTTGCAAGTGACAGCAGGGCCGGCGGTCCGGGCCTGTGTGTTCAAAATGGCTACCTGTGTATGGACCAAGGTTGTCTAAGTAGGTAGGATGAGTGGGCGCGCAGTTTCAAGGCGCGCGTGTGATTTTGCCCCTTTTGATTGTAATACGAGCGCAGGCGTCCAGCTTGACACCGCACTCTAGACTAAGCCGGGGGTTAATGGGTTGACCCTCGGTTGTTACGCTTAACCGGCGGCGGGGCTGATAGGTAGGGTGGTACGTTGGGCGGCCATGGCACGATCGGGAAGGCCAGCATGATTGCCTGGTAGCCCCGTGCCTGGCCACAGGCGGGGCAAGGCCTACGACGTCGCCCTCAGTCCTAAGTACCGGACTGTGTTACCTCAATACCACTTCATATGGGATTCACCGCCCACTAACCCCAGGCTGGGGCTTAGCCCTATAGGTTATGGTGTGGGATTACTGCTACGAAGGTGTAGGGTCCACGGCCAGCAGGTGCCACTGTGGGAGCAGCGGAGCAGCAAAGCAGTGGGGAGAAAGCTGAGGCTATCCCGTTTAGGCTTTTGCTGATGGGAGCGACGGAGGGCCCGGCCTATGGGAAGGCCCGACGTGAAAAGGCTGGTATTTCTTATGTTTATTTTTTTTATTTTTTATTTCTATTTTTATTTTTATTTTTATCGTTCTATTTTTATTGTTGTTACCCTTTTTCCGATCTATGAGAGGTGGGCCTGAATCCTATGCCTGCTGACCGAGGGGCCGGCGGGGCTCAGTCCCTGCGTTCATGTAGTACGGCCTGCAAGTGCCATGAGGGACTAAGGGCGCCCGGGGTCCGATGGGAGGATGGAGGAAAGTATAAAAGAAGGGGCAGCGCCGAGCTGCTCGCTCAGCCCTGCGTAAGCCATGCAGAAGTGTCGGGGTAGCAGCCTGAGCGGTGACGAGTTGTAGAGCCCGGGGGACGTGATAGCCGACGGCGAGGGAGCGATGTCGACAAGGGAGCTCCGCCGTAGTGGCGTTGGGGAGAGGCGCGTGTGCCAACACAAGGGGGAGAGAGAGAGTTGAGACGATGAGGGGGGGGGGTGAACGCGACCACGGCTTCGAGGCAGGGACGTGAGAAAGGTGGCTGACGAACCAAGCAGGCTAGGCGGAAGGGAGGATGAATGAGAAGGCGGAAGTCTGAGTGAGCACGAGAGAGCGTGGGCACGAAAAAAGAATGAGGGTGCTCGGAGGAAAGAAGAAAGGGGAGACAGATTGCAGAAAACTGGGACTGAATCTGGGCATGGGCCTGCGCCAAGTACATTCGAAGTATGGCAACAAACGGGAGTTGTGAGTAAAAAGGGAGTGATCGGTTGACTCTCCACCAATTTCGACGAGAGAAGAAGGTAAGGAGGGGTTTTCTGGGTGGGCGACCCCRAATCCATAGTTAGTTTAGGTAGAGAATTAGTAGAAGGTGGAGTAACAGAGGAAACAGGTGCGCGGAGGAGTTGAGGCGGGAGTAGAAAAGGGAGAGCGGGCGTAGAGGAGTGATATCTTGCTCTTTCCTCTACGAAATCGAGCAAGGTAAAGAGCTATTTGGGGGTTTTTGAGCGTTTTGAATCGAATGGCAGGACCAGATTTTGAATCTGGGCTGCGGATTGGCCGGTATAAGGGATAGGGGCTGCGCCATCATTTGCTAAAAGCCCGAAACGATTACCGTTTTTTTTTTTTTTTTTTTTTTTTTTTCCACGTCCTGAACGGAGGGATCGTCCCCGTTTCGCCCGGGGGGGGGAGATTCGTCCAGGCGCTGGGTTTCGTGACCGCTACCGGCAACCGGGTCCCCCTCCTCAATCTTCGTAATAATTGCCTCCGAGTGACCAGTCTCGTTGGTTCGTCGAGTCACGTTCGTGCTTATTTTTGCTGCGACTGAAGTCTGGGAACCTGGCCGTTATTATGACCAGGGGTCGTGCCAATAGAAAGTATCTGAAATAGTGTTTCTGTTTTATCCCAGAGCTAGATAAGGTGTAGAGAAGGGTGAGAGAAAATGACAAGTGTTGTGGGGGTGGAGAGTGATAAGCAAGGAAAAGGAGAGGGATTGATGGACTTACTTGTAACAGTCTTTTTGTCCACTGCCTCCTCTGTCTGATCCCCCCCCCATTATCTTCAGTAAGTGGTAATGAGCTTTGACTAMTTTAGCAGACTCGCGAATTGGAGACTCTGTTGCCAATATAGAGGCTCCCTGTGYGTGTTTGACAATTTCTGAGTATACTCCAGGCTGGGCTGTGTGACCGAAACACGCCCAGGCTTGAGTCTGTTCTGCTGGGCTGGGTGACCAAAACACACCCAGACTTGAGTCTGTTTTGCTGGGCTGTGTGACCATGAGCCTGTCGAGTTGGACTGGGATATCATTTTTCTGGGCTGGGATTCTTCATGTGACACTTCAGGTATGCACGCTGTTGCCTTTCACAGTCTACTCGGGCATTGTTAGATAGTACCTCAGCTCGGTCAAGGGCTTGTAGGACACTGCCACAGTGTGGATTATTACCTTGATGGCTGCATATATAGAAGTGTCACCACAGTAAGGATGGGAGCCATGGCAGTTATTAGTAGTTAGAATTGCTGCTGTCAAGCCTGATTGTTTTCACAGACAGCTGCAGATGTTTAAGGGGCTGTTGCCGTGAGAGTGCAGCAGTGCTACTGAAGGTAGTGGACACTGACCCCCCCCCACAGTTGTTTCCTGGGCCCTTGCTCTCACTTGGAAGGCAGTTAGGTTCTCAGCAGCGAGACCTTATTGCCTTTCCATCCTAGAGCAACAGAGAAGTTCTTGACTACCGTTGCTTCTGATTCTCCTAACAAGCTCCCTGATTGAGTCCCCACCCGCGGTCAAAGCTTTCCGGCAGGTTGTTATTGCAGACTACTGTTGCTTTCCCCGGGGGCTATTGCACTACCTAGGAGCTCGCTGGCAGTCAGTGGTAGATCGGCTCAGAGGCTGCTGTACCCTTGACTGGAGAAGGGACTGCTGG